CACGGGGCAAACAGCGCCCCCCCGTGGCCCCTCCCCGCAACGCCCCAAGGAAGCGCAGAGCCCCGGCCTTCACCAAAAAATCCTTTATTGCATTTAAGAAACGGGGTCTAGCTTTCCACAGGAAAGAACACGTTTAGAACAGGCGCGTTACAAACAGCAAGGTGAGTTAATATGAGAGCCAGAGATGAGGAAAGGTTTATTACAACTTAATTCAGCATAATTTAAAAAAAAAAAAACCCTTTAAAACTGTTAGCTGTACTACAAATTCTTTTATAGTATATAATCAAGTTGCCAGTGTATGTATCAGTACCACATCTAAGAGTCTTGGGTTCCCACTACTGACAGGTGTTCCCCGCAGCCCACCCAGGGGTCGGGACCCCCGTGGCATCCATCCGCTTCTCAGGGTCGGCTCCAGCAGCACCAAGGTTTCTACAGAGCAACATTTAGCACTTGGAGACAAAGCACAGTGAGGCTCTTCCAGTTTAAATTTCATAGAAATAGCTACAGGTGTAAACTGAAGAAAGCACCTAGATGTATAAGCGTACCTCATAACATCCTCTGGACACAGAATTCCTGAACTGCTCAGCTCCCTGTGGATGGCTTCTACGATATTTAAAAAACCACTTAAGTATTTCAGTAATCATTCACACACTGAAAGGTTAGAATTGATTTCTTCACAGAGAGTCTCTTCTGTGAATTAAAACATAGACACTGTGTTTCTATTCAGTAACAATCTGAGAAATCTTGAACAGTTTGGGAAACCCGCACAGCTTAACTTGGGTTTTCTTATCTCCCAAAAAAAGACAAAATCCAGCCGTGAGATTGTATGAAGTCTGTATCTGTCACCTGGCCACAGAAAAAAAAAAAAAACAAAAAACAAACCCAAAACAAAACCTAAAAAAAACCCCAAACCACGTGGGAGGGGCAGAATGGATTGTAGACTGAAGCACTGGACTACTTACAATAAAATGCACCAAGAATTGGGGGGGAAGCAGCAGGGGGGCATGGAAGAAGTTCACAAACTGAGAATGCCCACTGAATGGAAAAGCTTGCTGGATCTGTGTGCTCCTGAAGCTCATTCTCATAAAAAGCAGAGGCTGGAGGAAACCAGCTGTCAGCCGGCAGGACTTTTGCTCCTGGCAGAAAGCAAAAGAAATACAAGGCACCTAAATGGCTATTAATGAGGTACTCTAAAGTCAGTAAAAAGTTTTTGACGGTGCTCAAATGTCACTTTCTGCTCATTTTCATCACTATCATGTTACTCTCCTCAGTACTGCTGTGCAATCCATTTATTAAGTAATCTAGATGGGAATAAAGTGTTCTAGCAAAATGTAATCAATAATGTAATCAATTCAAATAAATTGATTAAGTAGTTGAATTGTATCTCACCATACTCTCTTCCAGTTAACACCAGGATGACTGCTCTGTAAGCCTACAGAAAAGGGGGGACTGTGTCCAATAATACTTGCTCACAGGAATTCTTCTCCACAAAATTATTGTAATCCAGTTAGGAATAACCACAAAAGATGCAGAACTAAAAGATTTCAGTACATAAAAAAGTAAAAACTTTCTAAAACAGTAGTAGCTTCAGTACAAAATTGCAAATATATGTAGAAAAAAAACCAAAAAAAAGAGGTGCCTGTTGTTGAAATGAAAAGTGTGTTTAAGAGCAGTTCAAACATATCACAAACTTTTTAAAGTGTATCTCTGAATGAAGCAAAGGTTATAGGCTTGCACCAGGGTAACTATAGACAGTTGACTTAGGCCTGACCAGCATTAAAAAAAAAAAAACAACATGCGCACTGGCTTAAATAAATACATTTTAAACATGATAAATTCTATTTACTCGGTTACTGAAATTTACCTACAGAAAATAATCATGAAATACAAGGCACAGAGTTTATTGCTGCCTGCAAGTCAAGCCCACACTAAAGGCCTACTACTAAAGTAAAGGCAGAACACAGTGAGTAGAAATACTGAAATACTCTTAGGCCCTCACAGCCTGCAGGACACTGCGGTAGGAGCCACATCTGGAACAGCACTTCTTCTACAACTGCAAAAGACACAAAGACACTCCAGGCAACGGCACTTGGTGAAGAAAAATATGCAGGGTCTCTAGGCTTCTGCAAACATCATTCTGCTGTAACCGCTAGAACTCTTCATGTTCTGATGATCTTCCACCTTAACTGTTATGAAGTCCTTTCCCTGGCGGAACTAAGCAACCCAAATTACCTCTCATATTAGATAAAGCAAGGTCAAATTAACACAGGAGCCCTAATAACCTTGTTGATGTATTTTCTGTTACCTTGCTAAAATTAGGCTTTTTTTCTGCCCAGGGTATACACCAGTGCAGTTTTGCATGTGTGGGAATCACAAGAAAGGAAGTTCTGAATGACCAATTGAAGCTGCATCCGGACAAAGACAGCACTGTCAACTTCAGACAACAAAGCCCAGTCCAGCACCATTGGTTTCACACAAAGTATCTTTGAAGCATACTGCTTTCATACCACCAAGCTGTAAGGTTAAGTCTAAGGAAGGTTTCATGAGCTCCCTCCTCAGCTGGTCCTGGAATCACACATGAAGAACAGTGCACATCCTGAAAATAAAAGCCAGCTGCCACTCACTAGAGCTGCTAAAGAAAGTCAAAAAGTACGTAAATGGAACTTCATTTAGAAGAGTTCATAATAACTGATCACCTAGTAGAGAGGAGAAAACTGCCCAGGTAAACCTATCCAGTGACTGGCTAACCATTACAAATTTAACTGAAACCATCAGTGAGTTGCCAGGAAGAAACAAGAGTTCCTGGTTCCTGTAAATAAAACCTCCAAATTTTCTGTCAGTGTTCTCCTGATAAACAGATAAACAACAAGGAATTTGCCATAAAAATGTCAGGTGGTGGCCCCAAGAACATTAAGAAGTGAAGCAATTAATTCCCCAAGAGCAAACAGGCTGCTATCAAGTCTCTGGGATTCATCAAAGGGATCACACTGAAAATCTCATTTTGAGAAGTGTCATCCCAACTACCTCAGTCAGTCTGAGAAGGTAACTGTTAACTTTATTCTCAGGGTGCAAAGTCTCTTTGGAGAGTGAAATAAAAACTCAGTTTAGAAGATTATGGAAGACTTGCATTTAAACTACTCTTCCACCTCTCCAATTCAAAAGTATAAAAATCACTCATTTGAGCGATTCATCATTAGCCTAAGTTCCTTACATTAGGAGAAATCAGCTCCTGCTTCTATTACTAAAATCACTGAAAGTGTTCCCTGGATCTTGCTCATTGCATTAAAAATACCTTATGCTAACTCTTCATATAAACGATCACAGTTCACTATAAGATGAATCTCAGTAATATTTCAGGCATTTTTGCATGTAAACAAATTTTTTTCAAGCTTTAATTTGACAAAGTAGAACTACTGGACAGCCAGACTTCTGTTTGTAAAACAAATTCAATCAGTAAATAAGGGATGGGAAAAGCAGCAGCTACGCTTAAAGCAAAGTTATCAGAATTTGTGCTTTTCAGCAAATCTAGTAACTGATGGCTATCTAGTAAAGAAGTCTGGCTTCAAAGAAGTCCCTTTTTTTATTTTCCTCCACTAAATAAGGACAGAAGCCAAGTGATCCCTGGAGAAGCTGGAGACTGGAACTTTAGAAGAAATAAAGTAGATATTTGACCTCTCAGTTGGAAAAAGAAAAAAAAAAACCTCTTCTGTTTCAGTTTCCCTGAAGCGATAAGACTGCAAGAATATTTGTTGCATAAAACTATTTCTGCTTAGAGCTGTTAGTGCAAGATGCAAATCTTCAATTTAACTCATTAAAGAGCCCTCCAAGATTCTAGTCAATATTCAACTTCGAACATCCATCACTCGAGGTAACTACAATAAGACACATTTTCTTGTGTTCTTCTTTGTCACAGGATACAGAACCGCACGCACAGCTTCAGCAAACACCTCCCGAACACCCTCCTGATTCAACGCTGAGCACTCCAAATATTTGACTGCTCCAATTTGTTTAGCCAGCGAAGTCCCCTGCTGCGGAGTAGTAGGAGCCAAGCTTTGCTCTTTCAACTTTTTAACTGTTTCCAGGTCATTTCTCAAGTCTCTCTTTGTGCCCACTAAAAGAATGGGAACATTTGGACAGTGGTGAGAAACTTCAGGATGCCATTTGTGCCTCACATTTGCATAGGAAGAGGGGCTACCGATGGAGAAACAGATGACGAATACATTGGTCTGAGGATACGAGAGAGTGCGCAGGCGGTCATATTCCTCCTGGCCTGCAGTGTCCCAGAGATTCAGGCTAACTGTCCGGCCATCAACAGTCATTTGGGCACTGTAGTTGTCAAACACAGTAGGGATGTACTCTTCTGGGAAGGCATTGGTGGTATAGCTGATGAGAAGACAAGTTTTTCCCACAGCGCCATCTCCAACAACTACGCACTTTATAGTCTGCATTCTTTACCCAGAAACAAAGTCCTGCACAAAGCAAGAAAAAAAGTTAGGAAAAGCACACTCAATGATAGTCATTTTAAAGATAAGCTTTATCAAGTGTTTTTAATATTGCTAACAATTTCTTATCACAGCTAGACGCACTTAGTGTCTCAGAGCCATTATGAAGAGCTCACAGGCTAGAAAGACAATAGCGAAACAGAGATGCAATGAGTTGAGAGCTCAGTGACAACTGGCTGCATTCCAACCCTGTAAGTACAAATTAGCCAAATTCCCACAGTCTTGCCTCACTGCCAAACAGTTTCCCACAGGCAAAGGGACAAGTGCTTAGAGGTACCTCCAAGTGGAAAGGGATTGTGACCTCAGACCTAGTAACAAGACACTCTGTCATTTGTAGGTTCACATGCACACCTCTGTACACACTCCAAGATTCACACTTCTTGGCTACATAGTCTACTGCCTAAACAGTTTACCACAAAGAAAGGTCCAAAAATTATTTAATAAACCCAGATACTCATTGCTGGGCTGCACTGCTACTGTTTACTATAGTAATTCACTCAACTCAAGATTAATCAGACCTCAGGAAACTGCATTATTTAGAGGATACCAGATACAAGGTTCAGAAAGTAGTACGTACAAGAAAAGCTGTTCTTTGAAATATAACTAGCCATAGTACCCAGATTAGAATACATAAAGAATTTTTCTAAAGAAGCCAAGAACAGATTATTCTCACTAATCAGTGACAGAACAAGCAGAACTTAATAGGCTTGAGCTACAATAAAGGAAGCTTATACTGGGCATTAGAAAAATGCATGCTGTAAAAGATCAGCAAACAGCCTTCCCAGGCAGACTGGAGAATTATTACAGGAGATATTTGACACTTAAAGGCTTCCCTATCCCTTTCCTGATATGTGAAGCGTAGGTTTGATAATCAAATGGATATAGCCTAAAACACAATTCATTCTAAACTTTCATCACATGAGCAGAACTTTGACAATAGCATGAAACAACTACAAGCAGTCATTTGTTTTATGCTGGAGCTTCCACTGCTAGCCTGAACAAGAAGGAACTTGCATCTGCCTTCTCACCCAAATGCCTTTGAGGTACTATCAGTAATCTTCAACTCCCAACCAGGAGCAAATACGCTGCTTCAAACAGTGGCAGGAACTATATTGCATATTCCAGAAAGATCACAGCTCCAACACCATCAAAATAGCAAAGGGAACATGAAAATGAGGCATAGTGCAGTACTTCACTTATAAAAGTCATGACACCCCCTCCCATCAACTTCTGCTTCTAGACCATCCAAACAAATCAACAACTCATTACCATTTAAGTCTCAGCTTTGTCCTTTTTGACAAAGTCTTTATCTGTATCCACATACTGCTGCCGTCCCACTGGGAGCACACGATTCTTCTGTACTAAGTGAAAATAGACTACCTTAAGCTTTGGCACAAAGCTGCAACAGGCAACTTGAGTGATATCAACTGTGGTCACTACAACATACAGTGCTTAAGGAAGTATCAATGTATGTACACACGCACTATTGAAAACCAATCAGTGGTGGGAAGCAGTGCAGAAACCTTGCTCCAGAAAGACCCAGAGGACACTGGAGGAGAAGAATTTGGAGGAAAACAAGCAGGAGGAAGATGCAGAAGCAGTTTATCCTCTTTGAAAATGGCAGGCATTACATTTCTAAAACAACATGAATCACCTGAAATGAAATCCAGTAAGTACTTCTGAGCTTTGGCAGAAAAGCATACATATGAGTTTCATCATACATCAAAAAAATCAGTCATCCCATTTCAAGGCTCCAGTCAGATGTAAAGAGAGTTGTGTATGCAACTGCATATTGTAAAGGTAATCCATAAAATGAAAACCAGCGCTGACCAGAAGCTGACAGCAGGACTGATTATGTTATTCCAGAACAGTTGCACCACGTTTTTCATTTAACAGCGCTAAGGGGGGGG